CTTGTTGCTCAACTCAATCTGAGCAAAGGCACAGAAAGAAGCAGAAAATTATACCTAATTTCTCAGTGCATTTGCAGGACAGATAGAGGCTGGAAGTCGACTAAGTTATACCTTGAAAAAAAAGTTAACCAATGGGGAAGTCTTGAAGCAACCAAATCGGGCCATTCTACCTATGAACATAAATCACAATAGTGTGTTGACAGTTTGCAGTTCATAATAAATTTCAGCAGGATGGTCAGAGTCGAACATCGACATTGTGACAAAGCAACCATGTATAAAAGATCTCAATAGTCCAACATACAGTTGGTCAAATTTGTATTGAACACTCCACTCTTATTCTCATTAAGTATATTTGCAGAGGTGCTATTGACATGACGTTTTCCACAACGTCAGTAACATTTCATGCAATCCTCACATACAAAAATAATCAAAACATAGCTGTCCAGAAACAAAGTTATGTGTAATGAGGTTAAATGACACAGGGAAAAGGTATTGAACGCACTTGCTGAAACTTATTTAATACTTTCTACAAAAGCCTTTGTTGGCATTGACAGCTTCAGGACGTCTTCTGTAAGAAATTTGTTGCATTGATTGCTCGGGTGTGATTTTGGCCCATTCTTCCAAAAAGTCTTCATATCTTCAAGATTTCTTGAGTGTCTTCTATGAACTCTGATCCTAAGTTCTTTCCATAGATTTTCTATTGGATTAAAGTCAGGTGACTGGCTGGGCCATTCTAGAAGCTTTATGTTCTTTCTCTGAAACAATGGAAGGGGGTCATTGTCTGGCTGAAAATCCACCCATATTTCCTCTTCATCATCCTAGTGGATGGCAGCAGATTTTTATCAAGAATGTCTCTGTACATTTTTCCAATCACCCTTCCTTCAATTACCATATACTGAAAAACAGCACCACACCATGATGTTCCCACCTTCAAACTTCCCTGTTAGTATGTTCTTTTTGGGATGATGTGCTGTACCCTTTGACTTCCAAACATGATTTGTACTATGGCATCCAAAGAGTTACATTTTGGTCTCATCTGAGCAGACTATATACCCCCAATATTTAACAGGTTTGTCTAAATGTTGTGCAGCAAACTGCAAACAAGCCTCAAAATGCTTTTTCTCAGCAATGGAGTCTTGCGTGCTCAGTGTGCATACAGGCCATGGCGGAGTGCATTACGTTTTTGTTTAAAAAAACAAACAAACAGTTGTACCTATTAATTCTAGGCCTTTCTTAAGCTCTCCACGAGTGGCTTTTCTGCTCTTGGACAACTCTTCTAATAATTTGTTTCACTCCTGTGTTAGCAAACTAATGAGGAGCACTTGGTTGTGGTCAGTTTATGGTGAAATTATGTTCTTTCCACTTCCATATTATGGCCCCAACAGTGCTTACTGGAACATTCAGAGGTTTAAAAATCCTTCTATACCAATGTAATTATTAAGGTTGCAAAGGTCTTGAGAGATCTCTTTACATTTACCCATGATGAGATGTTTCTTGTGTGATACCAGAAATGTCATGATGGGCTTCACTGACTTAACCCACATGCAGAACACACCACAGAGACAGGGATAAAAAGTTCAACAGTTTATTGAAAAAGCACAAACATGCAATCACAGAGTCAGGTACAAGCCCGGGACAGACTTCATGGGATCCTCTGTAGAGAAGGGAGAGTTTGGTTAGCCAGGGGTCTGGAGTAGCTTGACTGAGTTTGAAGTTGATCAATACCTGAAGGTACTCAGACAGACACGATGAGAGGGGGAACCAGTTGGGTCAGAGTTTGAGGGTTCAGCAGAGAGTTTACAGCGGCAGAGCTTGTCTTCAGACTTGAGTATTTTCAGACCTTGTGGTTTTGCCAGAGTTCTCTCCTGAGAACTGAGTTCAGATCCAATGCGATTCTTCAGGTTTGGCTCGTGAGGGCAGGCGGACAGGTCTAGGAAGCAAAGAAGACAAAAACAGATTAGGTCACTGACAAATTCTCTGTAACACGGTAGATCAGACTGGCAGGCTTGGCTCAGGTTCTGCTAACCATAACTTGGCAACACTCTGGCACTGAAGACAGGTCTGGCTGCTGCTTTTGTAGTAGGTCTTCTGATCAGGTGATGATCCTCAGGTGTGCAGGAGGCTCCAGCTCAGGAGACCCATAGCGCTCTCTGCTGGAGACAGGTGGCAGAAACTCCAGATCCCAACAAGAAATACCTTTTTATAGGCCATCATTTAGGACTGAACCAGCTGATATTAATTTGCACAGACATCTTTGCTTTCTAATTACTGAGAGATAGTGGCTGGTGTCTTGGTTTTCCATGCCTTGTTGCATCTCCCTTTCTTCATGTGTTCAGTACTATTCCCCTGTGCCATTCCACATGATTACACACAACTTAATTTCTGGACATCTATGATTTGATTTCTTTTTATGTGTGGATTGTTACCAACAAGTGATGAAAATGTCTGGTCAATAGCACCTCTAGAATTATAAAATTATGGAGAAAACTGTTGGCATGTTCAATACTTATATGGAGTTTCTGAAAAAAGCTAATTTCTGGCAGCATATGAAAAACAACACTTTATATGAAAATAAAACCCCACCAAATAACAAAGAGCATTGGTAGTCAACAGTCAACAAGGCTTTTTGCAAAGGTTAACTGGCCTGAGTAGGACTGGATCAGATGCAATATGTCATCTATGTGAAACCGCACCATTTCAGCAGGCACAATCTGCCCTAATATGTTTATATAAATCAGTAACAGAAAAGGACCTAACATAGATTCCTGCAGCACTCCCCCATGGCCTGCTACAGCTTCATATGGATTTTAGAGCTAATCTTTTTAACCAAGGAATAGCTTGCTCAAAAAAACAGGGGTGCCAAAGTCTGACTGTCAAAGTTTTGGGGTCCACACTATCAAAGGTTTTTTTAACAAATCCATCAAAGAGCTTTTCCTTTCTTTCAAGGGCAATAATAATAGCGTTAACCTCCTTAAATGCAGGTGTTGTTGTAGTATACCTCCAGCTAAAACCTAGAGTAACTGAAAGGAAGAGACAACCTCCTTTACTTGGTGGCTCTCAAGAGATTCAGAGTGGTTACAGAGGATTGCCAGGGGCTCGACTACTGTCAGTTTCAACCTTTGAAAACAAAGAATCTATTAGATCAGGTCTTTGAGATTTCTTGTGGCCTAAAGCTTTGAGGGGTATATATTTATCAGCAACAGAGAAAGGTTCACAGCTTAAAAGCTTAGATGGAACACTGTGAGTTACAGCAGAATCAGTTTGCTAATAATAAAATAAAAAGACAGATGGTATGAAATGCTTCTTAAAACAACTCTACCTTGTCTCTTTTTATCAAGTACGGTAACAGAGTTTTTTTAAACATCGATAGGCAGCCAGCTCCTGAGAGCTGTTTTTTTTTTTTTTTTTATCATGGTGAAGTTTTTCAATATTTATCCAAAATTTGCTCAGTACCCAGCAAAAAGGTTTAGCTTATAGGAGGGAAAGCAATAAAAGAGAGCATTTATATTTTAATCGTCAAAATACAGTGGTATATAATCTCGGCCCATATTTTATCTTCAGTATTGTGTGTGTGTGTGTGTGTGTGTGTGTGTGTGTGTGTGTGTGTGTGTGTGTGTGTGTGTGTGTGTGTGTGTGTGTGTGTGTGTGTGTGTGGGTGTGTGTGTGTGTGTGTGTGTGTGTGTGGGTGTGTGTGTGTGTGTGTGTGTGTGTATGTGTGTGTTGATTTTTTTTTTGTTTGCTTGACCATAAATTGAACTGCTTCATGAGATAAAGTAGAACTATTGAGTTTCCAATATGAAGAATTTGGACGGCAAGAGGAAGGGATCAGAGAAACGTTAATTTGAATTGCTTTATGATTGGTCAAAGGGGTGGAGAGAATTTTGACATCTGAGTTGTCTTTAAAATTACTTAAAATTAACCACAAGTCTATTCTAGATTGTCTAGATCTTGATTTATTGCACCAAGTAAAGTTTCGAACAGAAGGATTTTTTTTCTCTCCATATATCAAGTCAAATTTTTGCATGAATATTTTTGAATTTGCATTGGAACTAGCAGAGTTCCATCTGGCCATCTATCCATTGAATCATCCAAAGTGATATTAAAATCCCCTCCACAGACCAGGTAAGCATTAGGAAATTTGGCCAGCCAAAATATAATTTTGCTTTCTACCTCATTTAACAAGTCTTTATTTTAATGTACTGTGTTGTAGCCATAAAGCTTGACAGGTATAAAATTAAACCTGTATGAATATCTCTCTAATAACTGACACCAAATTCTCTTCTTGACATAACCCTCTCCATTTATCTGGGCTTGGGACCAGCACCAAGAGCACATTAAGACTGTAGGCCCCTTGTGGCAGGATTATTATGTGTGTGTGTGTGTGTGTGATGTATAATGGAGGTATATGTGGGAGTTTTGGTAATGTTTTTTATGATTTGTTTATGATTTTTATTTTTATTTTTTTATCAGGAATACATTTTTGTATTTATCATTAAAAAAAATTTAATATGAATACATTTGACTGTGACGAAAGAAGACAAAGAAAGGGTGGGCAAGCCGGAGCACCCGGAGAGAACCCACACAGGCACGGGAGAGTATGGCAGCTCCATGCAGAAAGGTCTCCTTCTACAAGGGAACAGCACTAAGCACTATTCCACCGTGCAGCCCCACTCTGTTTACCAGGATCTAATCAATGCCAAGGTAGGAATCTACCTCAGAAAAAGGCCCTGGTATGGAGGCAGTGCTTTTTTATTTACAGGGAACCATAGAGTTTTATGGAGGGTGACGGGTAATATTATGGACTGGATTACGGATGTTGTGAATGGGTCTGGGGAGTTAAGGGTTAAAGGAAGAATAATGAAAGTTAAAGGTAATGGTTATAGGGAAGGGGTTGGGGAGTTAATGTAAAGCGTGAAGGGAGGTAAAGGTATGAGATTCAGTAAATGTTTTGTCAGTTTTAAGTTTGTTTGGAGGACAGTTTTCTTGAGTTTTAGCAGAAATTATTTTTCTGACTTATGGCTTTTAAAGAGGTTGACAATTCTTTTCCTTAAAGATTTCTTTTTTTGTTTTCTTTCCGACTCCTGTTGCAGATTTTTGAGCTCCTCCATAAGGCTCTCTGTTACTTTGTTCTTCTCCTCCTCCATCTCTTTCAGAGTCTTCTGAGCATCTTTAACTTTCTTTCGAAGGTAGTACTTCTCTGTTTCCCACTGCTCCCTTTCATCATAAAGAACCTCCTCAAGCTCTTCAATAGCTACGTCCAGTTTTCTAATAGTGTTCTGCTGCTGAACACTCCTGAGCAGCGTTCCCTTGCTTAGGAGACAGGACTTTTCACGGTCCCAGAGCCTTGTTTGCTTCTTCATATCTTGTTCCATCTTCAGCAAAGCAGCCTTTAAGTCACTGGTTTCCTGCTCTTTCTCAGCTAAGCAGGTATCAGCCTCCTTTGTTCTGGCTTTCTCAGCAAGCAGACTCGTTTCCAGTTCCATGATTTTTCTTGCAGCGTCCTGATGTAATTGGTTGTTTTCCTGCTCTTTCAGACGCAGAGAAGCATTTTCCTGTTCTAACTCAGCTTTCTGTAACTCCAACTGCATTTTCAGCTCTTCCACCTCATCCCTTTGTTGTTGGTTAGCCATAAGTTGGCATTTTTCTTCCTCCCACTGGTGCTGCTGTTCCTCCAAGTCTTTCTCCATTTTGACCAAAGTAGCCTTTATTTCACTGGTTTCCTGCACTTGTTTGGCTAAGCAGATCTCAGCCTCCTTTGTTCTGGCTTTCTCAGCAAGCAGACTCGTTTCCAGTTCCATGATTTTTCTTGCAGCGTCCTGATGTAATTGGTTGTTTTCCTGCTCTTTCAGACGCAGAGAAGCATTTTCCTGTTCTAACTCAGCTTTCTGTAACTCCAACTGCATTTTCAGCTCTTCCACCTCATCCCTTTGTTGTTGGTTAGCCATAAGTTGGCATTTTTCTTTCTCCCACTGGTGCTGCTGTTCCTCCAGATCTTTCTCCATTTTGACCAAAGCAGCCTTTAAGTCACTGGTTTCCTGCACTTGTTTGGCTAAGCAGATCTCAGCCTCCTTTGCTTTTGCCGACTCAGCAAGAAGAGCTGCCTCCATTTCCTTAATTTGTCCTAATAATCTGGTGTTTTCTTGTTGAAGTGCTGCTCTCCCATCTTCTGTGGACTTTAAGTTGAGGCCAGCTTCCTGTACTGCTTTTCTCTTCAGGTTTTCAGATAATTTGATGTTTTCTTGTTGAAGTGCTGTGATCTGCTTATCTTTTGAGCTTATGCAGATCACAGCTTCCTGCACCCTTTGCTTCATACAAATTGCCACGGTTTCCAGGTGTCCCGCTTTTTCATTGGCAGATTTAAGCCCTGCTTCCATTTTCTGAAGCTCAGCAGCAGTAGTCTTGATGTTTTCTGACAGCTTCTTGATTTCTTGTTGCAATGCCGTGATCGTCTCGTCTTTTGCCCTTATGCAGATCGCAGCTTCCTGCATCCTTTGCATGTTAGCATTCAGCACAATCTGAAGCTGGCTAGCTTTCCAGTTGCTATGTTGATGAACTGCCTCTAATTTGTTAAGCTCAGCAGTGAGAACATTCACATGTTGGGATAGTCTGATGTTTTCATTGTGAAGTCCTGCGATTGTCCAGTCTCTGGAGCTTAAGGCGGCTTGAAAGTCTATCTCAGAAGTCATGATACTACCTCCTGCATTTCCAGAAGAGTTTGCAGCTATGCTACCAGATGTAACTTCCATAGTATTTTCTACTAGAGATTGCGCCCACATGTTGGCTTTAACTGGAGGCACCACGTTTGACTGACCTGATTTACGAACAAAGAAAGAGGAATTGGCAAATTCCAACGTTTGTTGCTGATTCAAGGCAGCCTTTTAAGCGCAACAAGAATTTGTTGGTTGGTTTGAAACACAAAGCTATATTTTCAACAAAAAAGCTGGAGTGATTTGCTCCGTTGGAAAACAAAAACTGTTTCTCTAATCAAAAGACGTAAGTCAAGAGACGCTAACCATACGAGAGGTTTCAGGAAATGGAATGACTTAATGTCTGCACTATACTTGTAGTCTGACTGAGTCACAAGTGATGATGTCACAAGTTGGACTGAACCATTTAAGTTGGACTGAACCATTTAAGTTGGACTGAACCATTTAAGGTGGACAGAACCATTTAATTAAACAAAAACAATATAAAACCTCCTTTCTGGCTTTGGGAAAAAACAATATTAACAGATGGATCGAGCTGAGAGAACGGGAGGGAACAGACATTTAAATGAGGTTTGACAGATAATTAGGGGTAAGACCATCTAAACACTTGAAAAAAAAACAACTTTAAAATCAATACCCAAACAATTCCAAACCAATGAACAGAGGCTGAAACAGGAGTGATATATGTTCTTGTTTTCTTTACCAGTCGCAGTGTTTTAAACCAGCTAAAGTTGATTCTTTGCTCAGCCCAACATAAAGACCATTACAATAACCTAGCTGAGTCGTAAAAGAAGCATCACATATGGTCCTCACTACGCAGAATGTGTGTGTGTGTGTGTGGTCTTGTTTTACCTACATGCGAGGACTTACAGGTACATATGGGGACATTTGGGTAAGGTTTAGGACTAAGGTGTGAATTCAGTTTAGGTTAGGATTAGGTACATCTTAGGGTTAGGGTAAGGGTCTGGGTTAGGCCATATAAAATGAATGCAATTCAATGAAATCACCCCATATGTCATGAAAACAAAGCTGTGTGTGTGTGTGTGTGTGTGTGTGTGTGTGTGTGTGTGTGTGTGTGTGTGTGTGTGTGTGTGTGTGTGTGTGTGTGTGTGTGTGTGTGTGTGTGTGTGTGTGAGAGGAGAGGCGGTTTTGGGGTGGGGGGAGGGGGGCTTAAGAAAGTCTCAGAAAAATAACCAGGTTATCTCTACACCAGGGATAAATACTATTTTCTTCCATTCAATAGTTAAAAAGTTGTGAAGAGCGGCTTGTCAGCTTAAGGGTTTAAGATTCAATATTATTAGAATGCATTGTTTAGATTTTATTTTGCCAATCGATTAATCCGTAAATTGTTTTTTTTCTCCATTAATCGATTAATAATCAGATAGCCAAAGATTCCTCCAGAAGACTTGACAAAATTAAACCAGGTGAAACTCAAATCTTTCCACATGAGGAGTTCTGGATAGAGCCTATTGACAGACAATGTTTTTTTTTTCTTCTTTTTTTATACATTAAATGCAAAGTGTTTATATTTATTTACAATCTTGGTATAATTACTGCTCTAATTGGGTTGATCTGTCAGATAGAGGCATGGTTTACAGTCTCTGTCCTCCAGTTAATGTTTAATTAATTTCTAGTGGCTGCAACAAAACAACATCACTTAAGTGTTTTATCCTGTTCTCTTCCAGTCATAGCCAAGGGCTCATCTGTTTTTTTACTGACTATGTTTGTCTCACTTTCATCAGTTCCTAATTTGTCTGATTAACTGTTTCCTTTCTAAACAGAGCCATCTATGGAGCTAGTTTACTTTAAGTACTGTTTCTAACATCGATCGATCATTCCATGACTTATAGATCGGTCATTCTGTGTCCCTTTTGAGTGTTGTAATTAAATTGTTTCATTAATTATTAAGAAAAATGGTAATTAAAATGTGGATTATTATGAAATATTCTATGGTATATTATCCATCACTTCCTACATCAAAGTATTCGGGCCTTGATCCCCATATGGCCACAATGACTATAAAAATAACAATATGCAGTAATTTGTATAATTGTCTGTATAATTCATTTGTAACGTTACAACAAGTGCAACATGAGTAAAACTGCAAAAGTAACAAGTTGTGAAGAGGGGAAATTACCAATGATACAAACGGAGGTCACATTTAAACCAAACAGAGAAAATTGTGAAGTTTTCTGAAAATATTTTCTACTAGATTATTCTCTAAAATCACCTAAAAACATCTCACAATAACATGAACAGATGCAGAATGGATTGTTTGAAAAAAAAAAAGTCAAAGTAGGAAAAGGGGGAAACTGTAAGGTGTGGGTCAGAAGTTGGAGAGCAAACTGGGAAATGTGTGAAAGGACCTGGAGCCTTACAGTATCATTTTGCATCTTTCCCTTTAAGTAAAAAAAAAAAAATCATGAATTACAGGATATTTTTTAAAGTTATGATAATAGTGCATAACTTTTAAATTGTATCTTCTATAAATTATTGGACCACCAAATAGCTGGGTGGGGGGGGGTGGGGGGGGATAAATAAAACATAATAATAATTTATACTGTGCATTAATTATTATTATTAAATCATTATTTTCTATTTAGCTTAGTTTATGTCTAAAATAACAGAATTTCTTATATATAGTTTGATCTTTCTGACTAAAAAACTTCCAACATATTAAATCAAGTGTTGTGATAAGTTCAGTACATATAGAACTACGGTTTTATTGAAGTACGAAGTCTGGGTACTTGGACCTCTGTCATTGTACCGAAGCGTCAGAGAGCAAAGTCTAGCTTTACTCTACCGAAAATAGAACCGGCGAAGAAGTGTGCAAGCCGAATGGGTTTCTGGGTAATGAAGTTTTCCTCCTCATAAGGCTCCATTCCTGAATTCTGTAAAGAACTTCATGTCCCATGTTCCTTTTCAGACATTTGTTTAAGGCTAAAACACTACAGGACAGTTGCTTGTTTTAATTGTTGGAAGTGAATACATTTTTAAGCTCAGCTGAGATGTTTCAGGCGTAAGCATTAAGGTAATTTTGAAACAGCCGATGTTTAGTGTCCACAGTTGATAACTAGTCTCGGTTTCAATATACGTCTAATTATACAAGGCAAGAATTATATATGATATAATTACTGTTTTATGTGAAGGGGTTGATTTTGCTTCGAATTATCCTTCGTTTTGTCTCACACGAACTTTGTGTTAGCTCTGTGTCGCTAACGTTAGCCTAAATAACTTTATATTATACAATTTTAATATAAAAACAACACCTTATAATCATATTATGTATTTCATTGATTTGTTTGTGTTTTGCAGCTGATATGAATGATAACACAATATAATATACATAAGCATTTTTCTGGCAGCTAATAGCTTCCGTTTCTGTAACGTTTTTGATATAAATGTTTGTTTTCTTTATGTATTCATAAGTTTCTATCATTTAATGTTTTCCAATTGTTTGCACAATATATAAACACTATTTAGAAAATGCTGTTTATCTAAAACAATCTGACTTTGTAATACTGATCCTAATAATTATCTGTTTAAAGTGGCAAAGGTCATTTATTTGATAAAACATCAAGGGTTCTTCAAAAAGTTTACAGCAGGTTTTAGAGTCTTAATTTTACTTATTCTTGTTTTAACTCTATTACAATATAATGTAAAATATGCGTTTTAAGATTCAAAAGCAGATTACTTCAAATAGAACATTTTAAGTTCACTGTTTAGCAAATTTTCTAATTTTTATTTGCCATATATATACACTTAACAGTTATGTTTTAGAGTCTGTACACTCCAGTTAATGATTTAATTTATCGATTACTAAATTAGTTGACGATTATTTCAATAATCGATTAATCACAATTAATCTGATTTTTTCAGCCCTAAACCACATTACTGCTGATGAGACGGTATCAAAGTTAATTTATTTCAGCAAGTGCTTTTAAAGGACATCAGAAATTGTGCTAATGTTTGACCTTAAAATAAAAATGTAAGGTATATAAAAATGACAAAATAGCTAAACAGTGAACTTAAAATGTTCTATTTGAAGTGGCATCTTAAAACGCATATTTTACATTATTCTCTCTCCCCCTCTCTCTCTCTCTCTCTCTCTCTCTCTCTCTCTATATATATATATATATATATATATATATATATATACACACACACACACACACCTATATAAGCCTCGGTTTTTGGGCTTAGTGAAACGCTGACAGATTCAAAGAAATAGCTGGTGTTCTACGATCTGTTTCTCAAGGTTTCATTTACTTTTTACAGGGTAATTAATAGACCAGGAAACTCTTTGGAGACAAAAGTGTAAAACAAGTGGAGCAAATTTAAATAGACTATGGCATTATCTTTCACTGTACACTTGCCAAAGAGGATTAAAATAATTTAAACGTATATTGAATTTTATTGATCTCACATTGGAGAAATTAACTCTCTGCCTGCATTTAAACCATCCCCTTTGGGGAGCAGTGAGCTGCACTGTGCAGCGCCAAGGGAGCCGTGTGGGGCTAGGGGTCTTGCTCAGAGAGCTGGAATGGCAGTCTGTCGGAATGGGTTTCAAACTCACAACCTCAGGATTCCAAGCCCTATGCCCTTACCACTAGGCCACCATTCCCCACTTTACCATTAATTAAACGGTAAATTAGTTAGTAAATTAAATGAGAGAGAGGCTGCAGTGCATCAGCATACATATATATAAATGTGTTATATAAATGTGTTAAAACAGTTATTTTGTTGTATTTGCTTTTCTAAGGCTCATATTGTGTTAAAGATGACTTTTGATGGAATAGTTCAAGCAATGGTAGTAATTTATGCTGTATGCATAAAGCAAAGAATGCGTGAACATCAATGGGTGTCGACTTATCATTTAGACACCATGTGTTCAAGCTTTCTTTCTTAGCCTGAATTGTCCAAACCCACTCTCATTATTCTATAGATGCCAGGCTTCTTCATAATACTAAGCATTATGGGTAGGATGGTTAAAAAAAAGCAGCAGTAGAAATGCTTTTTGTTTTTTACACTTTGCCAATAGGGATCAGCATCGCTCTTCCCCTTGGGGAATGTATTAATTTAATTCTTTTGGGACCATAGATTAGTTGGTAACATAATGTTAATTGTTTTTTTATTTAGCTCTTTGGTTATTCAAACCATTCTGATTCAGTTCTCATTTGTTCTAGTGTTTTAGACTCTCCAAAAAACTTAGTGAAGAATGGAGTTTCCCGAAGATTTCAACCAGCTTGAGCTTCTTGACACCCATGGACAGCTGATCCCCAAAGGGCCCATGAGTTCCTGGACCGCAAGCAAGGAGGAGGAGGAAGAGGTGGACGAGGAGACGCACAGTGAGGAGTGGTATCAAGAGAAGGAGGAAGCTCTCAAAGACAAGCCGAAGGAGCTCATTCTCTGGGCAGCAGAAAACAACCGCGTAAGTGTCTGTGAACACGAGTTAAACCCGACCAAAACTTCAAATAGTTGCTTTAAGGTCAGTCTGGGTCATTAGTTGCTTGTAGTGTTATATGCATCATCATGATGAGCGTCCCTGAACAATGCTGTGTATTACTCTTCCGAGGCATAAAAAAAAAAAAAAAAAAAGGGAAAAAGGATCTTCCTAGAACAAAATTCAACAGGATGATAAATATACATCAAAAATATTTGGGAAGAACAAACCTGAGAGCTATCAATTACAGCCTTTTTGATTATTGTTTACCAGATTCATACATCAAAAGACTGAGATTTTTGGCCATTTAATTTCCCCAAATGGCTCAAATTCAGTTATTCAATGGACAGAGAGAGAATGTGGTTTTAAAAGTATAGTGGAGAAGACCTGCCCTCTCCACTTAAAAAAAAAATAAAAAATCCACATGCAAAACCCCTGCACCCGTTCCCAAGAGGGAAAGCCTATTAAACAGAGCGAGTGCGTGCAGGAGCCCATTTCTCCTTATGCACGCTGTTTGCATCGCTCATACAAGCTTACTTTCCAAAAGAAGATCTGCAGTTTTTCCACTATGTCAGATTCCCCACCGGTAAGTGAAAATGGGGACGAGCATGTGGGACGGCCTTACATAAACATATCACCAGAATGTTTGACCATTAGGAAGACAGCTCATTTTGATGATCCACTAAAAAAAAGAACATCCTACACTGTACCTTTTAAGGCCAATTTATGCTTCTGATGAATAGCCTCTGCAGCCGTCAAATCTGTCTCTGAGCGCGACCACGCCCCCCACGTAGAGGTTCTGCGACCGTCATTGCACAACTCAAAAAAATCCTGACTACGTGTTGGACACTCGCAAACCTGTGCGGACAAAAAGCAGCCATGATTGGTCCTTGGTATGCTTTTCCGGCTGCCTGTATGGTCGTCCTTCTCGATTCGGTGCCGGGGCGCGCCATTTTTACAAACCGAGGAACAACCATCTGCCGAAGTTCTCGCGAGTTGTTGAATAGGCTCCCCCTTGCACTTTGGAGGGAAACTGCTGTGCGTCCCTAGAAATTCCAGACCGATGGAGCAGAAGCATACCAACTAAACTGGTTCGCAACCAGACCCGAGCGACATTTGATGTGTGCGGTTGCAGAAGTATAATCTGCCCTTAGGTCTTTCAAAATACTCTGAGGTATCAGATTTATAAAGTGCATAACTAGTAGTTACCCTAATAAAAGGCTCACACCTGGGCTGTGGTTCTCTGCAGCTTCTCCTGAGTTACTGTCGGCATTTCAGTGGTTTACTGATCAATGCTGCCTGGTCTGTCAGCTTAGGTGGATTTCATGTTCCAGAAGGTTTGCAGCTGTTTCCTTCTCTCTCATTTTCGGATGATGGATTCATGTTCAGTGTTTAAAGCTTCAGATATTGAATAATAACTGGATCTTTCTTCTTCTGTGTTTATGGGTTTCACATAATATTATTATTTAAATTAGATTTAACCAAACACAAGTGGACATTCCCTAATTGTGAAAGAAATTGGGTTTTATTGAGGGGCTTTGGGGTAAAGTGGGCTTAATATGCCTTGGATGGCTGCACGATGTTTTCCAGATTTCATATTATAAATATATAATACTCTACATTCCTATCATAAAGAATTACTGACACTGGGTAACATATTAATTATTCAGACTCTCCATGCTCCATATGTTTTTTGTTATTTTTGTTGTTTTATTCAATATAAAGAAAACCCAAAATAAAGCTTGTTACAAGAACATATATAGAAAATTAGAGGAGATTACTATTTTACCTTCTGTTTACACTTTATTTGAAGTATAAGTAAACTGGGGTGTTCAGGAGCTTCAGTTAGATACGTAAAACCTGTGATCTGCCTCGATTCAGATAAATTGAATGAGCTGAGGAGGTTACTTCTGACAGCTCGAAGAAGTTGACACAGAGGCCAGGTTTAGAATAATTTGTACCTTCAAGGGTAATGCTGGCAAACTTCTTTAGTTTATACAGGATGTTATTCTCTCCAAGTTGTTGCTGTTTACACCCACTGTCAGTAAGGTGCCTTTAATGAGATGTTTGCTGCGTGTTTGTAGCTCAGGGGTTTGAAAATGAGCTTGGTGACCAAAATAGATCTTGACAAAGAGCCGCCATTTATTTTCTACATATTAAATAGGTTATCTAATGTCCACAGCTATGGACACTAGATGACCTGCAGGTTGAGGTGCTATGCCCCATGTGGATAGCGTGGATTTTTTATCCAGGTCCTGTGTGAGAAACCACTGCGCTTGTATCATCCAAAGGAAAAAGTCCTTTTCCTGGGTTGGAGGATAAGTTTAATCCTAATGTATGATTCTGGGTTAGGGTTTGATATCTGCTGGTGATGAATAAGTAAAGACCTTTCTCCTTCTTTAGGTTGCAAGTATTAGACAAAAAGTGTGATTTTCCTCAATGAAATAAATTTTCCAAAAGAAGCTCATCTGCCAAAGTCCACCCCTTTATAACACACGTAATTGAAGATCGATACAGTGGAAATGGGGAAGGAGGGCACACAGAGTGATCGGCCCAAAGAGCAGGCGGAGAGCTTAAAGTAGAGGAGCAGACAGAAATAAGAGCTCACTGTGTGCTTTGACACTATTTGTAAAGACTACAGTGGAGGAGTGCAGTGCTATGGGAGGTGGGACTGTCCCACTAGGATAATTTGTAGGAGTGACTGCAAGTGAGCAGAACTGGCATGTTTGCCTAAACCACCAGTTTCATTGTGTGTTTAAAGTGCTGTTGGACAGAAAACTCAGGCATCTCCACTTTTCCAGTTTAACCACACATATATAAATCCTCTCCTTTGACAGTGCAGTGCAGTCCCTAAAACCAGACATACACTGTACGATATTTGCAATTGTTGTACTCAGCTACAGTTTACAATGTACAACAAAACCGCAGGGTTTAAAACTTCTCAGCTCACTATGTTTGTTCTTACACCATACTGCCCTAATCTCTGATGCAATCTACCTGCTCACACTGTATGTTCAAAAACCACATGTCGGACTCGGTGCCGAGAGATGGCGCTGAGTCGGACTCGTCAATCTGGTAGAAGAGCAACTCCCTTGTTTGGCCATGCGCAGGGCTCAAGGTTCTGGTAAATCGGCTCTTAGCTCTGCTTCAACAGCAGGATTTACCCACGAATGTACATGTTTGAATTTCTCCCGACCTTATGATTCCTGATTGGGAGGTGGTCACAAGAGGCTGATCGCTCCTAGTTACCCCCAGTACAATTCACCATGCATGACGCACAATGAGGCTGAAACTAGGCCCGATCCATAAAATTATTGCACGACTGGAAAATCGTACAGTGTATGCCTGTCTTAACATCTCTGTTGGATAATGTCTCCCACTCCATGTATGAAGCTGTTGCTGAACTGGATGTCCTTCAGTGACACACTGCGGCACCCTAAATGCATCAGGGGGGCGTCATCACAGATCCTTCCTCCCAACAGCTGTAAGACACTATAACTATCACTGTTCCCAACAACCTCAATAAGTTGTTATAGTCATGCTTATTTTGGCTAAGTTGTGTCCTAGTCACTTATATAACATGCTGCTGTCTTTTTTGGATATCTCTGATTTTTCTGCAATTTTTTTTTTACATATCCATTACAGTAAAAATGTCAACAGCTGTTTATTGATTATGTATTATTTCCAGATGCACTGAATTTAAGTTGTAAAAACACTGAACAGCACAGAATTTTATTTATTTTCCTAACTGAGTCACTTATTCTGTCCTTATTCTTATTTTATACAGTTTATGTTAGGTCCACATATGTGTGACCACTTTTGCTATAATCATTTGCTCCTGTAACACCACTATTTCGCCATTGTGGGACAATAAAGGGTCACACAGGATCCTAACCAGGCCCAGAGTACAAAAAGATGCCCTGTGCTGCAGGAGCAAGAAAACTGTCCCTGTTCTTATGGAGCATGTAGCAGCCCTAAAAATCCTATTTATGCACTAAAAATGCACGGAAGTCAGTGTAAAGGCCCTACAAAGGGTGTGTGTCTGTATTTAAGTGGGAACGTGTTGGAACTGTGCCTTTAAAAGAGGCAAGTTCTAACAAACTGCAATGAACTCGATTGTTGTAAAAAACTGTTTTTGTTGAAACTGACATCTTGTGTTTGTGCTGATGAAGCTGCTAAATCATGTTCCTAGATTGTTAGCTTTTCATTCAGAATGTATTTTCACTTTATAAATAATGCAGGGATTCAGGTGTATGAGTTCTCACATTTTCGCATAATTAGTTCATATATAAAGGTCACCAAATGGCCTTTCCATATATTTTCACATCTTATATAAATCAGGAGCCATAGAAAATCTAACCCAAAGGATTTTCTCATAGGAAAGTTGGACTGAGATAGTGGAGCTGTCATACTATCTGTCTGGTTCTTGTTTTTGGACTATTTAAAAAAAAAAAAAAAAAAGATTGCTTTATATTGTCCATCACAAAACTCTAGCGGAGCTAAAATCATGCTCTTAAAATAAATGTTATAAGCTTTCCTGAGATAAAGGGACTTTAGTTTAGCTAATGAGAATGTGGCTTCATACATGTCAGATTTATAAACAATATTTGATCAGATCAGCTAATAAGTTTATCCGTTTCACTCTTGAATCCAAGACAAAGCACTGGGATGCTTCTGAATTAGTGTTGCTGCAGCCTTTCATGAATTTTTCAGATTGTTTAAAAGTTGCAATTTTTTCAGTGGTGTCTTCATAATAGGGCATCTTTTTTCTATTTTCACCAGCTCTCTTTCTTTAATAGCAGCATTTAGAGCTCCCCCCTTTTAGCAAGTCTGGTTCTTTATCATGAACAACTTGTCCTTCTCTTCTTTTCCTCCTTATTTCACTGCTTTTAGTGCAGTCAGACAAGAAGCACAGCAACTGTCACAGAGTTTATTTCATTACTATTATTGAACTGTGAAGTTTTCCATCAGTCTAACCAACCATTCTG